TTGGATGGAGCAGCCTTTCTTATGCACCTGGCTACCTACGTTCTCACGTGTTGGATGGACAGCCCTTCTTATCAACGCGGCCGCTACCTAGCCCGTTTCTCACGTGTTGGATGGACACCTTCTTATCACCTGCTACCTACCGTTCTCACGTGTTGGATGGACACCTTCTTATCACCTGCTACCTACCGTTCTCACGTGTTGGATGGACACCGTTCTATCCAAGCCCCTACCTACACGTTCTGCACGTGTTGCGATTGGACACCTTCTTGATCAACCTGTACGCTACCGTTCTCACGTGTTGGAGTGGACACGGCTTCTTATCGCACCCGCTAACGCTACCGTTCTCCAACGTGTTGGATGACAGCCATCTATCAGCCTGCTAACCGCTACCGCGTTCTCACGTGTTGGATGGACACCTTCTTATCACCCGCTACCTACCGTTCTCACGTGTTGGATGGACACCTTCTTATCACCCGCTACCGTTAACCGTTCTCCACGTGTTGGATGGACCACCTTCGTTATCTCGCCGCTACGGTACCGTTCTCACGTGTTGTGATGACACCTTCTTAATCACCACGCACCTAAACCGTTCTCACGTGTTGGATGGACACGCTTTCTTATCTCCTGTACGCATATGCCGTTCTCACGTGTTTTTTGATGGACAACCTTGCTTAAATCTCCTGGCTACCGTACCGTTCTCCAACGTGTTGGATGGACACTTCTTATCACCTGCTAGCGCACAGTACCGTGTCTCTAGCAGTGTTGGAATGGACACGCGTTCTTATACCCCCGCTAGCCAGTACCGTTCTCACGTGTTGATGGACACGCTCTTATCAGCCTGCTACCGCTACCGTTCTCACGTGTTGATGGACACGCTTTGCTTATCACCCTGCTACCCTACGCGTTCTCCACGGTGTTGGATGGACACCTTCTATCACCCTGCCCAGCTAGCTTTACCGGTTCTCAAGCGTGTTTGGATGGACACGGCTTCTTATCCCCGCTACTACCGGTTTCTCACGTGTTGGGATGGACACCTTCTTATGCACCCGCTACCTACCGTTTCAGTGTTGGATTGGACAGCCATTCTTAGTCTCCTGCTACTCTACCGTTCTGCATCGTTGTTGGATGGACACCTTCTTATCACCCGCTACCTACCGTTCTCACGTGTTGGATGGACACCTTCTTATCACCCGCTACCTACCGTTCTCACGTGTTGGATGGACACCTTCTTATCACCTGCTAGCCGTACGCGTTCTCAAACGTGTTGGATGGACATTCTATCACCGCTACTACCGTTCTCAAAACGTGTTTGGATTGGAACACCTTTCTTATCACCCGCTACCTACCGTTCTCACGTGTTGGATGCGACACCTTTTCTTAATCACCCGCTACTCCCGTTACCGTTCTCAACGTTTTGTTGGATGGACCACGGCTTCTTATCACCTGCTACCTACCGTTCTCACGTGTTGGAATGGACACGCTTCTTATCACCTGCTAGCCGCGTACCGTTCTCAACGTGCGTGGATGGAACACCTATCTTAATCACCGCGGCCCGCTACCATTACGCGTTCTCACGTGTTGAATGGGACACCTGTTCTTATCACACTGCTACCACCGTTCTCACGTGGCTGGATGAACACCGTTCTCGTATCACTCTGCTATCGTAACCGTTCTCACGGTTGGATGGACACCTTCTAATCTCCGCGCTAACCTACCGTTCTCACGTGTTGGATGGACGACAACCTCTTATCACCTGCTACCGTACCGTTTTCTCACGTGTTTGGTGGAAACAGCCCTTCTTATCTCCCGCTACCGTACCGTTGCTCACTGTGTTGGATGGACAGCCTTCTATCACCTCACTAAGGCGCTACGCTTCTCAACGTGTTGATGGACGACCTTCTTAATCACTCGCTACCGTACCTTCTCACGTGTTGGAATGGACACCTTCTAACAGCCGAGACGCTACCATACCGTTCTCACTTGTGTTGGATGGACAGCCTTCTTAGTCACCCGCCGTACCGCTTACCGTTCTCGACGTGTTGGATGGACACCTTTATCTTTATCACGCTGCTACCTACTGTTCTCGACGTGTTGGATGGACACCTTCTTACACGCCGCTAACCTACGCGTTCTTCGACGTGTTGGATGGACAGCGCTTCTTTATCAACCCGCTACCATTACCATCTCACGTGTTGGATGGAACACCTTCTTATCACCTGCTACCTACCCGTTCTCAACGTGTTTGATGGACACCATTCTTAATCACCGTCCGCTACCGGTACCGTTCTCACGGTGTTGGATGGCACACCTTCTTAAATCCCAATGCTAGCCTACCGTTGCTCTACGTGTTGGATGGAACACTTCTTATCACCTGCTAGCCTACCGTTCTCGAACGTGTTGGATGGGACACCTTCCGTTAGTCAACCTGCTAAACCTAGACGGGCGTTCTCAACGTGTTGGATCGGACACCTTCTTATCAGCCGCATATACCGTTCCTCACTGTTGATGGACACCTCTTATCAGCCGCGCTACCCTTACCGTTCTCACGTGTTGGAGTGGACACCTTCTTATCACTCCCTACCTACCGTTCTCGTGTTGGATGGAGCACGCTCTTACACCCGTCTACCTACGTTTCAGCGTGTTGGATGGACACCTTCTATATCTCGCCGCACGATACCGTTCTCACGTGTTGGATGGCGACACGCTTCTTATCAACCAATAGGCCGCTAGCCTACCGTTCCTCACGTGTTGGATGGACACCTTCTTAAATACTGCACAGCCTACCTTACCGTTCTCACGTGTTGGATGGACTACCGGTTCTTATCGACACGGCGCTAACGTACCGTTCTCACGTGTTGGATGGACACGCGTTCTATCACCCGCATACACATACCGTTCTCACGTGTTGGAGATGGACACCTTCCTATCACCTGCTACCATCGCGTTCTTCAGAGCGTGTTGGATGGACAGCCATCCTTCTTAATCACCCGCTACGCTACCGTTTCCACGTGTTGGGATGGACACCTTCTATCGACCTGCTACCTAAACCGTTCTCACGTGTTGGAAGTTGGACACAGCCTTTTATCAACCCGTACTACCGGCGTCTCACGTGTTGGATGGACACGACTTCATTTATCTCGCGCTACCAGCTAACCGTTCTGCAACGTGCTTGGATGGACACTCTCTTATCACACAGGGATCCCCGCTAACCGTACCGATTCCTCAGCGTGTTGGATGGACACCGTTCTTAATGCAACGCCGCGTACGCTACCGTCTCAACGTGTTGAGATGGACAACCTTCTTATCTCCCAGCTACCGACTACCGTTCTCAACGTGTTGATGACACCTTCTTATCACCTGCTGCTACCCTACCGTTCTCCCGAGTGTTGGATGGACACCTTCTTATCACACCGCTACCTACAGCGTTCTCACGTGTTGGATGGACCACTCATTCTATCACGCGTCATATCTGCTACCTCCGTTCTCACGTGTTGTGATGGACACCTTCTTATCAACCCGCTACCGGTAACCGTTCTCACGTGCTGATGGACACCTATCTTATGCACTGCTACCTACCGGTTCTCACGTTGTTGATGGGACACCGTTCTTATCACCTCTACTAGCCGTTCACGTGTTGGAGTGACAACGCTTCTAATCACTGCGTGAGCCCTACCTACCGTTCTCAGCGTGTTCGGATGGACACCTTGCTTATCAACCCGCTACCTAGCGCGTTCTCAACGTGTTGGATGGACACCCTTCTTATCTCCCGGCTACCTACCGATTCTCACGTGTTGAGTGGCACCTTCTTATCACCTGGCTACCTAAACCGTTCTCACGTGTGTTGGATGGATAACCATTCTATCACCCCCGCGTACGCTACCGTTTGCTCACGGTGCTGGATGACACCTTCTTATCTCCCCGCTACCTTTTACCTTCTCTAGACTGTTGGATGAACACCTTCTTATCACCACGCTACAATAAGCCGTTCTCGACTTGTTGGATGCACCTTATCACCCTACCGTACCGTTCTCACGTGTGGATGGACACCTTCTTTATCACCTGCTAATGCCTACCGGTTACTCACGTGTTGGAATGGACACCTTTGCCTTGATGCACCGCGCTACGCGTAACCGTTCTCTCAGACGTGTTGGATGGACACCTTCTTATCACGACGCTACCGATACCGTTCGTCACGTGTTGGATGGACAATCCTTCGTTCATCTCAAACCGCTAAACACCATACCTGTTCTCACGTGTGTTTTGGGATGGACACTCTATCAGGCCGCGCTAAGCCACTTACCGTTCTCACGTGTTGGATGGACACGCTTCTATCAACCTGCTAGCCTACGCGTTCTCACGTGTTGGATGGAGCACTTCTATCACTGCTGACCTACCGTTCTCACGTGTTGTGATGGACACCATTCTTATCACCCAGTGCTACCTACCGTTCCTCCTCAACGTGTTTGGATGGAACCGTTCTTATCACCCCGGTCTACCTACGCGTTCTCACGTGTTGGAATGGACAACCTGTCTATCACGGAAGGTCCGGCCGCTTTACCCGCGCATACCGTTCTCAAACGGTGTTGGAATGGGACACAACCGCCGCCTTCTTATGCAGCGGCGCGCTACAGTAACCGTTCTCACCCGTGATTGGATGGACAACCTTCTTATCACCCGCTACCTACGCGTTCTCAGCGTGTGTGGATGGACACCTTCTTATCAGCCTGCTTATCCCTACCGTTCTCGACGTGTTGGATGGTACACGACTTCTTATCCAGCCTGCGTACCTACCGTTCTCAAACGGTGTTGGATGGAGCACCTTCTATCACACCGCTACCTACCGTTCTCACGTGTTGCGAATGGACACTTCTTATCACTTTTTTTTATTTTTTTCAAATTGAAATATATTTTTTTGCCGATCACAATAAAAAGTTTCGACACGGCGGTTTAAAATGGACTCGGTCGGGTTAGCGGAAACAAACATCTTTTTAGGCCTAACCATGTGTGAAGTACATGTGGGATGTGGTCACGTTGTGATACTTACTTACAGAGGTTGCGCTAGTCCTTCGGCTCAGTGCTGACAACATTAATTTATGGTTTCCCATTGAATTCAGAATTTTGATGTAGACGTTAGAAAAAAAAGGTGACATTGTTGTTTTTGGCTGTTCTGGCTTTATGTCAAGCATAGGGGCTCTGCAACCACATTGCTTTCGTTTCTGCAACTTTTTCGATTTCGTTGATACTTGTCTACTCTACGCTGTTACACTGGTTGGGTCGTTATACCCATACGATATACCCCTCGTTATACCCATGTCGTTATACCCATACGGGTATTACCCATACATCGCGATGTAATGATCTGGTGTGTTTTTCCCCCTGCAGGTGGAGCCAGTAGCGTTCTCGGTGGACAAGCTGCCGTTGGCTGAGCGTCTGCTGGGAGTGTGGGCGAGCGTGGTGAGCAGTGCCGTGTGTAGCTACAGACAGGACAAGGATAGAGACAAGGCAATGCTCAACACTAGTCTCACCAGCAGTGCGGACATGTCAGGTAACACCTAATTAATTATCGTGACTGACGAAATAGTATAGCAAGAGTTTTAATCATAGCTGTTGTTCCGGTAATACTGAATTTAGAAATTAGAAATCATTGTCAACTGTTCGTCAGCTAAGTAAATGCTTATGCTACAACCAGACTAACGTGTGTGAGAAGTTAACTTATAATTAATTTGGAATTAGATGAAATAATTTCAATTAATCTAATCAGCATGAATCTAGTTTTATAATATTACACCGGTGCGATGTCGGACCGCAATCTTACTCAGGCTTAGATATGGGACTTTGTTTAGTTTTAGATTCGACTCAGGTGAGGCAGCTACAGCAGAAGTATATCTCCCTTCAGCTGATGAGAGCTGCAAGGGTGTTCTTCGACAGACAGGACTTCTTCCGACAGATTCTCTCTCAGACAGGTAGGTTTATTCACTCGTTTATCCTACGTGTGTGCAGTGTAGGCGAGATTGAGTCAATGTCAGCATATCTAGTTCACTTTATATAGCTACGATTCACTATATCTAGCTCACTATATATTTTATGTATTATATATTATATAATATTATTATAATTTTCATATATTACTCACTTATATATATTATATACCTAGCTCACTCGTTTATATATTCTCTGTTGTATACCATCGTTTTTATATATTACATATTTATATGTTTGTGATAATATATATTTGATGATATATATTTATATAATGATAATTTGTCTGTAGTTATGTGTCTTTATTGTGATAGCAAGCAAGCATCCAACCATCGTGTGCTTGTGTTATTATTACAGTGTATGAGGGAGCGCAGAGAGAGACTAGTAAGCCTGCGGGGTCTGAGGATGGTTTGTCCCCGGACACACTGGGTCCCGCCTCCCTGCTGCACCAGGTCATGTGTGTCGCCACCCAGCCCTCGCCGCTCAAGGCAATATTCGATCGGCAGGAGATAGAGGTAAAGCCCACACACCATGCTGCTGCCAAACGTGAAATGCGTAGCGTGTTCTGATGACGTTGTTTGAGGACGTAAATTCCCTATAAAATCTTCTGACCCTGTGTGTGATACATGGTGAGCGGATTAGTATAGATCGAGATAGATCGATTATATTGGTCTTAGAGTTAAGATTAATGTCGTATCCATGTTGTTGTAACTGTACGTCAAACTTTGCTGTGACTCGACATTTTGATACTGTCTAAATCCATCTCTATCCGTAAAATACATGACGACATTTGCTAAAAATATAATAATAAAATATCGATGTCCATAATATAATATAATATATATATAATATATATATATATAATTATAATATTGACTATGACTTCCGACCATGTAAACAATGCCTCTGACATCCCCCCCCCTTCTCCTGCAGGCTGCGGTGTTGGCAGTGTGCCAGCACCTAATGGCAGAGCTGACAGCTGCGGGGTCAGGTCTCTACACGAGCACGTGTCAGCTATCCAGCAGCACCAGCCAGCATCTCGCGTCCGCAGCCTCCACATCCGCAGTCGTCGCCGCCGACGACCTCCTCTCAGCGCTCAGCGACTCCAGCTCCACCGCCGCCAGCACCATGGCGTCGTCCACCGCGTCGGCCAATCACGCGCCGCCGCCGCCGCCGCCCTCGCGGACCCTCGCGGCTCCGGCAGCGGCGGGGCGGTCGCACGGACGCAGGCAGAAGACGGGAGCAAGCTGCATGGCGCTGTCACCGATCGTCACGCAGATCATAGAGATGGGGTTCGGGCGACGCAGCGTGGAGTTTGCTATCAAGGAGCTGGGTGAGTAGACGTGATGTGTGTGTGTGTGAGTACATGCTGCTATCAAGGAGCTGGGTGAGTAGACGTGATGTGTGTGTGTGTGAGTACATGCTGCTATCTAGGAGCTGGGTGAGTAGACGTGATGTGTGTGTGTGTGTGAGTACATGCTGCTATCTAGGAGCTGGGTGAGTAGACGTGATGTGTGTGTGTGAGTACATGCTGCTATCAAGGAGCTGGGTGAGTAGACGTGATGTGTGTGTGTGAGTACATGCTGCTATCTAGGAGCTGGGTGAGTAAACGTGATGTGTGTGTGTGTGTGTGTGTGTGTGAGTACATGCTGCTATCTAGTGTATAGCTGCATGTACTGTGGCTGTTACATAACAAATGATACTAAACGTGATTATGAATATTGTAACATTATACTAACAATACAATCAATATGTTAAAATTTTATAAAATACACAAGTACATAATCATATACACGTATGTAGAGTGAATAATGTACACGTATGTAGAGTAAAATAATGTACACGTATGCTAGAGTAAATCAATATACACGTTACTGTAAGGAGTAAATAATGTACACGTATGTAGGAGTAAATTATTTACACGTATGTAGGTAAATAATGTACACGTATGCTTAGAGTAAATAATGTACAACTATGTTAAGAGTAAATAATATACACGTATGTAGAGTAAATAATGTACACGTATGTAAGTTAAATAATGTACACGTAATGTAGAGCTTAAAATAATGGTACACATAATTAGAGCTAAATAATGTACACGTTATGTAGAGTAAATAATGTACACGGTTGTTAGAGTAAATAATGTACACGTATGTAGAGATAAGATAACTGTACCAGTGTAGCGTTTTCGTCGCCTCATCCGCGCGACACCAGATGGCGCCACCGGTCGACACACAAATGAGACTAGTAGCACACAATCCTAGGTATCAGCACTTACCGTATGTGTCTGGAGACGTTGTTACCGGCCGTGACCGCTCTTCCCGCGACCTTCGCTAGCCACCCGAGCGCTTTAAGAAAGCTACTGCGCCTCGCAATAACCTGTTCTGTCGCTGCCTCAGCGTCCTGATGCCGTCGTAGTTATGTCAACAGTGCAGGCGCCAGTACACGACACCGTCATGCACACCGCCAGGCAACTCCCACCCTCTTTGCCCACTGTGCCTCGCGTTACGATGAGTTAACAACGTGTATACGACGCGTAAACACAGAGGTTAGACACACAGTAATAGACTATGAACGCAGCCCGGGCAAAAAGGGCTTACAGTACAGTAAAGTAATCGGCGGCTGCCCTCCGCTGCAGCCGGCGCACGCGAATAGACTAACTCCCTCCTATTCGTGCAGACTCGACACGTTTACTTAGGCCTAGTACTGTATTATTCACGCACCCTACAACGACAGGACAAAACGGGGCTTACTCACCGAAACGGCCGCTCGAGGCAGAAACGCGGTGGGGCTTACTCTCTCTCTCTCTCTACCTCTCCCAACTCTCTGTATTTCTCTCTCTCTCTCCAACTCTCGAATTCTCTGTCTTTCTCTAGCTCTCTCTCTCCGATCCTATCCGCTTCGCTCCAGCCCGCGAACTACCACGAGAACAACGCGCGAATTCCGCCTGTCACCTGCGGCCTACTGTTTCGCCGTTCTCTTTGCCGCTAGAGGGGCGACTCCCACTGCATCCAGCATGGCGGCCCCCGTTTGTTGAGTGTTTCGATCGCCGTAAGCAAACCCCGACAAAACAGACATGACGACAACACAATTAGACAATTACGAAACATTTACCATCTCCCCATCCACCCGGTACCCGGGGCATACACCACCCACGCTCTTGGGAACCCCGAGAGCCCGGTTGCCACCGCTACACACGTAGTAGTCATAGTAACTTTTAAGTAAATAATGTACACGTATTGTAGATGTAAATAATGTACACGTACTTGTAGAGTAATAATGTCAACACGTATGTAGAAGCTAAATAATGTACAGGTATTGTAGAGTAAATAATGTACACGTATGTAGAGTAAAATCAATGTTACGACGTATCTATGAGTATAATAATGTACAGCTAAGTATATGTACAGATGTAGATAATATGATCACTACTTGATAATGTATCACGTATGGTAGAATAAATAATGTACACGTAGGTTAGAGTAAATAATGTACACGTATGGTATAGACGTAAATAATGTACACGTATGTAGAGTGAATAATGTACACGTATGTAGAGTAAATAATGTACACGTATGTAGAGTAAATAATGTACACGTATGTAGAGTAAATAATGTACACGTATGTAGAGTAAATAATGTACACGTATGTAGAGTAAATGTGAGGATGAAACTTAAATAATGTACATAAAATGCAAAATACTGTAAACATATTTAAGTAGAAGCATCAGTGGCTTGGATAAAAAGTAGGATTACTCTCTTCTTAGTTCTATGCTTCATTAACATCCTAGCACCGTACTAGTGTCATGTTCCCCAGCTGCATGTCAACGTTGTTATCAGGTGGGGACATACAGCCGAGTGCGGAGTCTGTGGTGGGATGGCTGCTCGAACATCCCGCTCTACACATCCCGGAAGTTTCCGATTCCGACAGCATCTCCTCCATAGAAGGCTTCAGCGATTCCGATTCCTTCTCGGACGACCTTGACGACCTTGAAGGATCTTTCAGCGAGGTACGGGCGCGACAGGAGTTTATCGATATTACACGTAATATAGCAAAATAAGACCTATAGCATAATTTATATTTTGACAGTTTAATTTTGAATATTAAGGTTTTGATGTACATAAATAGCGAAATAAAACGTTTAATACAATTTATATTTGGAAAGATTAGGTTAGAAAGTTTCTGTGAACTTCCATCTGAAAACGAGCATTATTGCATAGATGTACTGACATTGTATGAAGTCTGTCGATTTTATACATAAATAGCAAAATACGTTTAGTGTAATTTATATTTTGTTTGTAATTTAAGTTTTATTTTGAATATTGAGGTTTGAAAGTGTCTGCGTATTTCCATCTTAAAACTAGCATTATTGCTCGAATGTACTGACATAGCAACGATCTCCTATACATTTCAATACATATATTCATCGATTCTTTATCGATTTCAGCTTTATCCATCCGAGATGCATCAGTACAAGAAGCGAAATGATTTCTTGACGAATGAAGACTACGCACATTACGTGAAGGACAACATCCAGGCCGGCATGACCGTCAGATGCTGCAAAACATACGAGGAAGTGCAGGAGGGAGACATAGGCAGAGTTGTAAAGGTTCTAGGCTTGTTACTACTAACACACAATATTAATCGGTGTAGCCGTCAGAAAGAAATTTTTGTTCTCCTCTGTTTTAGTTCTGTTACTGTTGATAAATGATGCAAATACTATACAATATCCTTATCGTTTAGTAAATGTATAAATTTACTGATATGTTTCTATATACATGATATAGCATATGTATTTTTCAAATATTTATGAAATATCCCATTGCTAACTAAATATATATCCGATAACTCTTCTCTAATAATATATAATATGTATACAGTATATATATATATATATATATATATATATATATATATAATATAATAATAATCATGCAAGGGTTGTGAGGTAGAGCAGGCAGGAGGTAGGAATCCTCCATGGCCATTTTTTCCGACTACATATTTCACAGAGCGCGAGTGTCTTATGTGAGAGGTTAGCAGCAGATGTCCACTGAGGGCAGCTTACAACAAGCGAGAATCGGGTCCCGATCTATCACATAGTCTGACAGGGCATCAAGTCAGAATATAAAGTAAAGGTGTTAAGTGGTGCTATTTGTGTAAAACTGCAGAGTGGCTAGGACGCACTTATCGGCAGAGAAGTATAGTCGCAGGGAACAATCACGCTTCTCTCCTCGCTGTGTAATCAACCCATGCGCCAGTGCAGACGAGTGTTTTGGCATTGAACGTAGGTAGTAAGGTTCGCAGGCGAGAGTATTATAGAGCTAAAGTAATTGTACATCGCCCATGCAGGGTTGATGATTAGAAGGGCTAGGGGCAGGAGTAAGCGAATCCTCGATGCAGGGGTTTGGTGAAGAGCAGGGCAGGAGTAAGGAATCCTCGATGCAGGGTTGTGATAGCAGCAGGCAGGAGTAAGGGAATACCTCGATGCAGGCGTTGTCGATAGACGCAGGCAGGAGTAAGGAAACCTCGTGCAGGGTTGTGATAGCAGCAGCCGCAGGATAAGCGAATCCTCGATGCATGGGTTGTGATGAGAGAGAGCAGGCGTAAGGAATCCCTCGATGGCAGGGTTGTGATAGAGCAGCGGCAGGAGGTAAGGAATCCTCGATGCAGGGTTCGTGATAGACGCAGGGGCAGGAGTAAGGAATCTCGATGCAGGGTTGTGATAGATGCAGGAGCAGGAGTAAGGGAATTCCTCGGATGCACGGGTTGTGAATAGAGCAGGCAGGAGTAAGGAATCCTGCCATGCAGGGGTTGCTGATAGAGCGGCAAGGATAAGGGAATCCTTGATGCAGGGTTTGCTGATATGAGGCAGGCAGGAGTACAGGGATCGTCGATGCAGTGGTTGTGATATAAGCAGGGCAGGAGTAAGGAATGCCTGCCAACTGCAGGGTTGTGATAGAGCAGGCAGGAGTAAGGAATCCTTGGATGGCAGGGTTTGTGTAAGGGAGCAGGCACGGAGTAAGGGAGATCTCGATGCAGGTTGTGATAGAAGCAGCAGGAGTAATGGACTCCTCGATGCAGGGTGTGGAAGAGCATGGCAGGCGTAGGAATCCTCGATGCAGGGTGTGATAGAGCAGGCAGGGAGTAGGTTAACTCCTGCGATGCAGGGTTGTGATAGAGCAGGCATGGAGTAAGAGAATCCTCGATGCAGGGTTGTGATAGAGGCAGGCAGGAGTAAGGAATCCTCGATGGTGCAGGGTTGGTGATATGAGCTAGGCAGTGAGTAAGGGAGATCTCCATGGCAGCGGTTGTGATAGAGGCAGGCAGGAGTAAGGATGGCCTTGATGCAGGTTGTGCAGAGCAGGCATGGAGTAAGGAACGCCGATGCAGGGTTGTGGATAGAGCAGCAGGAGTCAGGAATCCTGCGGCATGCAGGGTTGATGATAGAGCAGGCAGGTAGTCAAGGAATCCTTGATGCGGGTTGTGATACGAGCAGCAGGAGTACGGAATCTCGGATGAGGGGTTTGTGGATAGAGCGAGGCAGGAGTAAGGAATCCTGCGATGCGTTGTGAGTATGAAGCCGGCAGGAGTAGAGGGAACTCTCCATGCGAGGGTTGCTGAATAGAGCAGGCAGGAGTAAGGGAATCCTCGCATGCAGGGTTGTGATAGAGGCAGGCCAGGAGTAAGGAATCCCGTTCCTTGATGGCAGGTTGTGATAGAGCATGGGCGCAGGAGTAAGGCGATCGCTACGATGGCAGGGTTGTGATAGAGGAGCCGGAGTAAGGAAATCCTCCATGGCAGGGTTTGATAGAGCCGGCGCAGGAGTAAGGAATCCTCCATGGCAGGGTTGTGATAGAGCAGGCAGGACGTAAGCGAATACCTCCAATGCAGGGTTGTGATAGAGGGCGGCAGGAGTAAGGAATCCCGGATGCATGGGGTCGTGTGATAGAGCAGGCAGGAGTAAGGAATCCGTCGATGTCAGGGTTGTGATAGAGCCGGCAGGAGTAAGGAATCCTCGATGCAGGGTTGTGAATAGAGCAGCAGGAGTAAGGAATCCCCGCATTGCGGTGTTGTGATAGAGCACGCAGGATAGATATCCTTGATCGGCAGGGGTTGTAATCAGAGCAGGCAGGAGTAGATGGAACTCCTCGATGGCAGGGTTGTTGATAGAGCAGGCAGGAGTAAGGACCATCCTCGAGTGCAGGGTGTGTGATTAGAGCCAGGCAGGAGTAAGTGGAATCCTCGATGCAGGGTTGTGGATAGAGCAGGCAGGAGTAAGGAATTCTCTGATGCAGCGTGTTGTGATAGAGCAGCGCAGGAGTATAGGAATCCTCCCTGATGTCAGGGGTTTGTTGCTATGAGAGCAGGCAGGAGTAGGAATCCTCTGATGCAGGGTTGTGATAGAGCAGGCAGGAGTAAGGATCATTCTGCCATTTGCAGGGGTTGTTGATACGAGCAGCGCCAGGAGTAAGGAATCTTGATGGCAGGGTTGGATTAGAGCGCCAGAAGTAAGGAATCGCTCCGATGCCGCGGGTTGTGAATAAGAGCAGGCAGGAGTAAGAATCTCCATGCGCAGGGTTGTGATTAGAGCAGGCATGGAGGTAAGCGAATCCTTGGATGCAGGGTTGTGATAGAGCAGGGCAGGAGTAAGGAATCCTCGATGCCAGGTTGGTGATAAGCAGGCAGGCAGGTAAGGAGATGCCTCTGATGGCAGGGTTTTTTTGTGATAGATGCAGGCAGGGAGTAAGGAATTCCTCGCATGCAGGTGTTGTCGATAGATCAGGCAAGGAGTAAGGAATCCTCCATGCAGGGATTGTGATAGAGGCAGCGCACAGGAGTGAAAGAGATCCTGCGCGATTGACGTTTGGTGAGGGGCTGTGATCGCATAGGAGGCTACGCGGGCAGGAGTAAGGAATCCTGCGATGCCAGCACAAGGCTGTCTTAGTGATAGAGCAGCGGCAGGGACATCAGCGACACTGGTCCCGCTTACGGCATCAGGGGCCGGTTGTGATACGAGCACGCAAGGAGTGTAAGGAATCCCTCCAATGCAGGGTTGTCGATATGAGGCAGCGCAGGAGTAATGGAATGCCTCCATGCATGGGGGTTGTGATAGAGCAGGGCAGGAGTAAAGGAATCCGTGCGAATGCGGCAGGGTGTTGATAGAGCAGGAGGAGTAAGGAATCTCTGCGATGCAGGGTTGTGATTAGGGAGCAGGCAGAGTAAGGAATCCTCGGATGCAGGGGTTGCTCCCGCATCACGCCAGGCACGGCATGTGGATAAGGAATGCCTCCAAAATGCAGCGGGTTGTGATAGAGCAGGCAGGAGTAAGAATCCTCCTGCATGGTTGTTGATAGGAGCAGGCAGGGAGTAAGGAATTCCTGCGCGATGGCAGGGTTGTGATAGAGGCAGGCAGCGAGTCAAGGAATCCCCTCCGATGCAGGGTTGTGATAGAGCAGGCAGGGAGTAAGGAATCCCGATGGCAGGGTCTGTGATGTAAGAGCAGCCGGGCAGGAGGTAAGGAAGTCCTCATGCAGGGTTGTGAATAGAGGAGGCCAGGAGTAAGGAATCCTCCGATGCAGGGTTGTGATACGCAGCCAGGGCGCAGGAGTACAGGAATCTGCTTCGATGCCCGGTTGTGATAGAGCAGCAGGAGTAGAGCCGCAAGTGGTGCGATGCAGGGTTGTGATCAGAGGCAGGCAGGAGTAAGGAATCCTCGATGCAGGGGTTGTGATAGAGCAGCGGGCAGGAGTAAGGGAATCTTGATGCAGGTGTGTGGATAGAGCAGCGCAGGAGTGGAATCGCTTGATGCATGCTTGTGATAGAGGCAGGCAGGATAATGAATCCCTCAACATGCAGGTTGTGAATAGAGCAGGCACGGAGTAAGGAATCGCTCCATGGGGGTTGTGATAGAGCAGGCAGCGAGTAAGGAATCCTCCCTGCAGGTGTGATAGCAGCAGGCATGGGAGTAAGGATCCTCGATGCAGGGTTGTGATGAGTGATGTGCTATCTGTGTGTGTGTTCTAGTAGCTGGAGGCCATGATGGCCTGTACGACTGAACGTACATGGTCGACTGGCAGAGGAAAGGGTAAGCAAACCGTACTGGGTGCGATACATCCACATTCGAGCTGCTTAGCTATCTACCACGGCGTGTTAACGTGGAATGTTCTGTTCATTGTATTGATTGATTGGATTGATTGATTTCAATTGATTCATGTTTATTCATTTAATGAGCAGTTACATTGGTAAAGGTTATGTCATAATGATATTTTTGTTTTATTTATACATATAATGCTTATTTGTATGCCGCCCGCGACACAAGTCGGCTTTGGGATCCTATGTGTATCCCCCGCGGCCACAGAAAGTCGGCGGGGAGTACTATATGGTTTTCATGTCTTGTTTCAGACCGCCGCGCGGCCACGACACTTTTTCCTTCCGCTCTTAAACTCGACCCGCATAATGGACCTAGCATGACCAAACATAGTCTGCCCTTATACATCTTGGGGAGAGGGTGTGTCGCGTGACCGAACCAGGTCATGCAACCTTAATTGACATTGGACCTTGACCTTGACCTTCAATCGATATTTCCTTTCCGCTCTAGAACTCGGCTCCTAATTGACCTAGTGGGCGGCGAAACTTCGTATATCTTACCATCATCTTGGGGAGAAGGTGGTGTTCCGCGTACCAACCCTAAGCGCAGAACCATGTTTAACGATACTTGCACATCTAGCCAGATGAGTTGTGTAACAAACCTTTTTGTCTTTGTGACT